AAAAAACATAAACAATTCAAAACCCATGCATATTGTCAAGCAATACTGAAATAAACTTGGGTGTCTTGTGTATTCTTGTATATTGAGTACTAACTTGTACCACCTCTGTCAGATCTCAGTTTATGGATGTAAAAGTTATTGAATGTGTGCAGGTCGGTACAGTATTATTGATTGGTACATGCACCTTTCTCTCAGTTGTGAAGGAGAGGGAATTATTTGAATGTATGATAAAGAACAGCATTGATTTTAATATTTTTAAATATCAACACATTCTTCCTACGTGGCACCTTGCAGTCAGGGAGAGGCTTTTCATGAGTAGACACCATGAGTTAAGGCTGTACCCTAGTTACCATCTTCATTCATTCCAGACCATTATTTGGGTACCAAAGAGAAATGATTGAATATGACAAAGCTACATAGATCAGTCTGTAGGGAACATGTACCATTCCTTAGCGACATGTTCCATCTCTAATACAGCATGTACCATTCCTCATACAGCATGTACCATTCTTCATACAACATGTACCATTCCTTAGCAGCATGTGCCATTCCCCATACAACATGTACTATTCCTCATACAACATGTACCATTCCTCATACAACATGTACCATTCCCCATACAACATGTACTATTTCTCATACAGCATGTACCATTCCTCATGCAACATGTACCATTCCTCATACATGCACTATTCCTCATACAACATGTACATTCCTCATTCAACATGTACCATTCCTCATACAACATGTACCATTCCTCATACAACATGTACCATTCCTCATACAGCATGTACCATTCCTTAGCAACATGTACCATTCCTCATACATGTACCATTCCTCATACAACATGTACCATTCCTCATACAACATGTACCATTCAACATGTACTATTCCTCATACAGCATGTACCATTCAACATGTACCATTCCTCATACAACATGTACCATTCCTCATACATGTACCATTCCTCATACAGCATGTACCATTCCTTAGCAACATGTACCATTCCTCATACAACATGTACCATTCCTCATACAGCATGTACCATTCAACATGTACCATTCCTCATACAGCATGTACCATTCAACATGTACCATTCCTCATACAACATGTACCATTCCTCATACAACATGTACCATTCCTCATACAGCATGTACCATTCCTCATACAGCATGTACCATTCCTCATACAACATGTACCATTCCTCATACAGCATAAAATTACTCATACAACATGTACCATTCAACATGTACCATTCCCTCATACAGCATGTACCATCCTCATACAACATGTACCATTCCTCATACAGCATGTACCATTCCGTTCAACATGTACCATTCCTCATACAGCATGTCCATTCATTCAACATGTACCATTCCTCATACAACATGTACCATTCCTTATAGCAACATGTACCATTCCTCATACAACATGTACCATTATCAACATGTCATACAGCATGTACCATTCCTCATACAGCATGTACCATTCCTCATACATGTACTATTCCTCATACAGCATGTACCATTCCTTAACAACATGTACCATTCCTTAGCACCATGTACCATTCCTCATACAACATGTACCATTCCTCATACAGCATGTACCATTCAACATGTACCATTCCTCATACAGCATGTACCATTCAACATGTACCATTCCTCATACAACATGTACCATTCCTCATACAACATGTACCATTCCTCATACAGCATGTACTCATTCAACATGTACTATTCCTCATACAGCATGTACCATTCCTCATACAACATGTACCATTCCTCATACAACATGTACCATTCCTCATTCAACATGTACCATTCCTCACACAACATGTACCATTCCTCATCAACATGTACCATTCCTCATACAACATGTACCATTCCTCATACAGCATGTACCATTCCTCATACAGCATGTACCATTCCTCACACATGTACCATTCCTCATACAGCATGTACATTCATTCACACAACATGTACCATTCCTCATGCAACATGTACCATTCCTTTATCAACATGTACCATTCCTCATAGAACATGTACCGTTCTTCATACAGCATGTACCATTCCTCATACAGCATGTACCATTCAACATGTACCATTCCTCATACAGCATGTACCATTTCAACATGTACCATTCCTCATACCATGTACCATTCCTCATACAACATGTACCATTCCTCATACAGCATGTACCATTCAACATGTACCACATGTATACATTCCTCATACATTCTAACATGTACCATTCCTCATACAACATGTACCATTCCTCATACAGCATGTACCATTCAACATGTACTATTCCTCATACAGCATGTACCATTCCTCATACAACATGTACCATTCCTCATACAGCATGTACCATTCCTCATTCAACATGTACCATTCCTCACACAACATGTACCATTCCTCATACATGTACCATTCCTCATACAACATGTACCATTCCTCATACAACATGTACCATTCCTCATACAGCATGTACCATTCCTCATACAGCATGTACCATTCTTCATACAACATGTATCATTCCTCACACAACATGTACCATTCCTCATACAACATGTACCATTCAACATGTACCATTCCTCATACAGCATGTACCATTCCTTAGCAACATGTACCATTCCTTAGCATCACATACCATTCTTCAGACATGATGGACATGGTCATTGCTTCAAACTAATTGCTCTTTTTCAACATGATAAATTCCTTTAGCCTAGTAACATGCTTATCTAGGGTTGCCATTGGTTTCACTCTTAACAGTGTGTTATAAATTCTCAGTCTGATGCTGGAAGGTGTGTGGATTAATGTGTTGCTTGGATGTGAACAAACGCAATTTTTTCTGTCATACGAATGGATGAACTTGACGGTGAAGGTCGGTCATGAATTAGGCAGAGAAAATACTTGTGTACATAATAACCTGAGCATGATGAGTTTATGAATGGAATTTGATGAGACATTGTGATAGTGTGCATGATCTGTTACCTCTGTATAAGGCCATGGTCACAAGAAAATACATATCATTGGATGAAGTTCATCCCACTCAGGGCTAGGGCTGGCTTTTTATATTGTTCATCAAGAGCGATAATTGTTAACTAAATATTGATCAATTATCAATATATATCGGGGAAGCAAATTTGAACAGAAAGGCAAGAAAAGAAATAGAGGATATTTCATGTGTCTAGTGAAATGTGATGTTACTGTCATCGAGTGACGTGAATAACATGATATTTTCACAGGTGAAAAAATAACATTCACGTCATGAAAAGATACATAATATTCACTAGACACATGAAATATTCTATTTATTATTTGCTTTCAATTATGTTTACTTAAATTTAAGCCTTATTAATCTGAGGAAATTCGATTAACGAAATCCAAATTTTCGTAACTGTAAACTAAAGACTGTTCACTTCGTTGTGAAGACATAGTTCGGTGTTCAAAAAGAAAACTCGAGGCAACACATACCTATATCTGTTGCTATCTTTTTGTTTCCGGAGCATAACTGAAAAACTGTTCAATATCTTTCAACTTGGCAGACATTTTAACCAGAGAGCAAAGTGGTGCCTTTTGCTACTTGCTGATTTTTGGCGGGGGAAGGATTTCATTTCATGAGCACCACTCAAAAACCAGAAGACATTTTGCATCCAAACCGGGTACATGTGTTAACCATGGGCTGATGAGATACCTTTTGCTATTTAGGAATTTTAAGAAAACTAATTTGTTTCCTGTTACCATGGCAGCAAGTTTGATTTTGACTCTGTTCATAGTGTTGTGTTTCTCAGGACCATATCTCAAAGAGTACTGGGTATTCTCTCATGAAACTGCACAAATAATACCCAGGTTGTCAAATGCTGCATTTTGCTATCTGAATTTTTTTTAAATTTGTATTTTTAACTTTGACTTTAGTATTTGATATTGGTGTGTACCTGACATAGAAGTACAAAGTACAAATCCCAATTCCATGTTATTGTTTTGATAACTCATTTACTACTCTTGTATACAGACTTCAAGATTAGACAGAAATTCTCTCATCAATTTGGACTTGAAGTAACTGTCAGATGAATTGTTCTTTCAAATTTTGTGGAGGCTGGGGGGATTTGTCATCGTCTGATGACTTATGTTATTTATTGTCATTGTTTGAATGAGATCAGAACTTATGATAACATCCATCAAAGATCCTTCTTTGTCTTGGTTACGTAAGAAACAAACAAATGTGGCAGACCGAGGGAAAGGGAAGAGTGCGATTAAGAAAATACTCAACAATGTACTGTGTCAATAAGCATAAATGCAGGTAATGACTACTGCCAATCCAGTGAAATAAAGTCACTTGTGCATAAAACGTCAGTTTTGAAGTTGAACACTGCCAGCACATGACTCCAGTGTTTTGAACCGAGGTAAACTTGTCTGAAGTGAGTTGTGGACTCAATGCAACACACCCACTCAGTGTGTGGGTGCACGAATAACTGGAGGGCAGTCCTCCAATGCCCAGGCTTGCTGACCAAATTCAAATGTTTACGTTGCCATTTACTGTTTTGTGTAACATCATATTGGCCAGAAAAGTTTGTTGAGCGATGAAGTAGTTTTGGCAAAGTGATATTTTCACTTTCGCACTTAAGTGCCTGTATATTAGAAACAAGGTATTTCTCATCACCTGTGAGTGGTGATACATTTATTCATGGATTACCAATATAAACAGTGTCCTGAACTTATTTTGAAGCAGCCTTTGAATAAAGATACAATGTCTGTGTATTACGTATGTAAATCAAAACTTTATTTCACTTCAAAAGTGTGAGTACAGTGTTATTAATGACACAGTTTTCATGTTGATAATGGTTGATACTTCCTCCCGACGATGATATTTCCGATTATCTTTTTAGCCAGCGCTTCTGTTCAATTCCTGAGTCAGTGTGTAAAACCTTTCTTGAAGTCTCCAGCCCGGATGTAACTAAGTGCTGAATCAGCTTAAGACAATACTCACTCTTGTTACAGTGTTGATATGGAAGAAGGAAGTGAGTAACGTGGACAGCAGCGAGGTTGATTTGAGACAACAGCACGACAGCCACAACCAACTAGGGTCACCACATCACAACATTGGGGACAGACCACACCACAACTCCACATCAAGGTCACATCAAGGTCAGTACTCTGCAGATCAGAAATTTTTTTACGCTTCAAGAAACTATAACATTTTGTATTTTCTTTATCCTTCAAAGTAAAAGACAAACTGTTTTCATACAATGTCATTGTTCTTGTGGCCTCGCACCAGTTTTTTTTTTTCAAATATGGCTGGAAAGACACTACTGAGGTCCATATCATTTGGAATTTGTGAACAGCTGCAATCTGTGCCAGAACCTTTTTGTCTGCTGGCCAAACATATGTATTTGCACACTTTGCAATCATCACAATCTTTATGAAGTCTTATTAGCGGAGCTTTCTGAATCCAACAGAAATTTACTGGCTTTGTGTTTAGGACTATTTTGTACCCCACAAGGGGTGGTTGGGTGCGCCTAGTGGTTAAAGCGTTTGCCCATCACTGTGAAGACTCAGGTTCGATTCCCCACATTTGTACAATGTGTAAAGCCCATTTCTGGTGTCACTTGCCGTAATATTGCTGGAATAGTGCTAAAAGCCGCGTGACACTAACCTCACTCACTCGTAACCCACATGGGGTTTCTGATCCTAATAGATGACATACTGTATCACGTGGTCAGACTTGGTGTTTGTGGGACTTCTCAGATGTAAGTTCATAGAGAGTGCTCGAGTACTATGAGGCAGGTTTAGACAGTCCACTGTAATATCACAACTAACTCTGCTGGCTTCCCCAGTCATTCAAATAACATTAGCACCAAGTATTTCTGTGCCAGTGTGGGTTATTAATTTTTCAGCATTGTTCAATGTGGTTATCTGTGTCTCTGACCACTTGTCACCTGACTTGACCGGCTTCCTAGAGGGGAAACAATGAAAAGTGTTCACATTTATCAGGACTAGTCTTTACTCAAGCGTCTATGATTAGTAATTCTGTTGTTGTGGTAGTTTGTGCAGGTGTGTTTTGTGTGTTCAGGCCCGGTGGTGATGTGGAAGAAGGCTGGGGGCAATGGTGGCACGGAAGTGATGCAGGTGAGACACCAGGATGCCGTGGCATGGAGGAAAGCCTTGGCCAGCAGTGTCGAGAACAGCAACTCTTCGGATACACATCCGGATGAAACAGAAATATGGAAACCTGCAGTTAACTCCCTTGACCAAAATGCAGGCGATCTACGAAAAGGACATGTGATATGGAAGAAAAGCGTTGGGGATGTTGACAGTAGCGTGTCCGACACGCAGCACCAGGAGAGTGTGTTGTGGAAGAAGCAAATGCATGGTAGTATGGGGGACATGGAGGCACATGATGGCATTGTGTGGAAGAAAGCAGTTAGCAGGGTCGACCGACCTGAGATGAATCAGCAGGACGACCAGAGTCCGCTGCAGTCACCACATCACGACATAGGAGACAGACCTCTCATCAACTCCACACCAAGGTCACCTCAAGGTCAGTTTGTATATATTGACAGCCTTACAAATTTGTTGTTTGAGTTTAGTGTTGAGGGCTAGTGAAGAAAACAGTTTGTAGGTAGTCCTGCTAGAATGTTTACTTTGTTTGCACTTTCTGTCAGTTTTATTCCGTCCCAAAGGGCAATAAGATAAAGCTTTGACAACTGGCTCAGAGCTAAGAATCAAATGCTACTTGTCTACGAGGACTTCAAACAGTAGAGTCTGGCTTGTCCTCTGCACAGTTTAGTAGCCTTGGTCTTGCAGACAAGCAATTCAAGGTTAAAAGTTGATCAAAGTCAGAATATTAATACAGTCAGCTCTCGTTAATCCGACACTGATTAATCCGACAATCACGTTAATCCGACAAAAAATTAGGGAACCATTTAAAACAGTGATAATTACTCTCGTTAATCCGACATTCTCGCATTCCGACTCCGACACACCAATCTAGCAGCTGATTATTGTAAATACATTGTAAAAACATTCGTTTATCCGACAATCAACACAGCCGGTCGGATGATCCGACCGTATACAAACAATCACACGTGAGTGGTAATTAGCGTGTGCCTTACTGGCTGCTTGACACCGGCATCAGTGAACATCACACTTGTTAATTAGGAACACAGGATAATTAATTGAGACGATTTAATCAAGAAATAACAGTAGAGCGAGCTGTATAAAATGTTTACAACCGACATGAGTTTTCATCACAAGATGTTTGTCACGAGTACACCACCTGCTAAGCAACCCCTTGTAGAAGTGAGAAGATGTTGTTTCTAGGACAACCCCCACCCACCCCCCTTTGAAAATGACTAAAGACTACATTGAAGTTAATGTTTTGCAATGGCGGAGCCAAGGTGGGGTTCCTCCCCCCTTTGAAAATTTCTGGATCCACCTATGTGGACCCCTCAGTTTCAAGTACTGAGATTTGAAATGTAGGGCTTTATTTGATGCCAAGTGATCCAGGAAACAAACTGTTCCCCTTGAAATTTACACATCATCAAGCTGACTGATATAATGTTTGTATTGTTTGTTGACTTTGAGCTGAGTGACTCTCCCAGTCCCATATGCTGTATCAAGTCATCCATGAACCATTCTTATATAGCCTTCAGAATTAATGCCTATGTATCTTCCCAGCCAATCATTATGGATGGTATCGATCACAGTGAGGCCAGGTTACTATATAGAACAAACTTTGCTTCATTTATTTCATTAACCATAAACATTGTTCTAGATTGTTCTTCCCAAGTCCTAAGATGCCACTCTGAGAAGTTAGGTTAACGTACGTCAGTACGTGAGTGATTACTGCATGGGGCGACATAGTAAAGTCACAGGTACAATGGACTCGCTTTGTTTCGTTCATCACCACATCGCTATCGTGATGTCATGTTATTTATTGTGATGCAGAAGATACGGGATTACAGTCAGTCATAGAAACATTCCTACTTTCAATCTCTGTTGTCCCAGATGGGGGGCTGCCCATTCCCAGTGCCCCCTGCCGAGATATTGCTGAAATATTGCTAAAAGCGACGTAAAACTAAATTGAAATATACTCTGCCAAAGAAGAAACACAAAAGTGGTCTTAAGATGTATACTGTATGTATTATATAAATATTCAAAAGATCTTAATATATTGTTTAAATTTGGCACGAGTCATTGTCACAGACCGAGGCTCATAATGGCACACATGAAACAATCAAATATCAAGGTCAAGGTCATCTGTTTTCTTGTCTCATATATGACGGGCATCGTCGCCCCATGGAACCAACCATTACGAATTATGGCTTGGGGAATCTTCACCCGCTCTTCCTCCATTGCATGTGTTTGTGATGACTGGTGCAGGATCTGTGTCTCTTGCTCATGTGGTTGTTGATGAAGAACATCCCATAAATGTTCGATAGGGTTTAGATCTGGAGACCTTGATGACTATGGCAGTACTTGGATGTTGCGGCTCCTGTTGTTGTGTTAGGTCTGACATTGCTTTGTTGAAACGTCATGTAGGACATAGGGTCTGTAATTTCTGAATCAAGGGGTAAAGAAAGAAAACTGAAAGAACGAGAAAGCGGTGATCCTTGACTCATTGTGAGTTTGCTCACAGAAACCTTCCGTGATGCCAGATGGTGTTGTACTGTAAGTGAAGGAACAGACAGTTGGGAGTTTGCTCACAGAAACCTTCCGTGATGCCAGATGGTGTTGTATTGTAAGTGAAGGAACAGACAGTTGGGAGTTTGCTCACAGAAACATTCCTTGATGCCAGATGGTGTTGTATTGTAAGTGAAGGAACAGACAGTTTGGAGTTTGTTCACAAAAACCGTCTTTGATGCCAGATGATGTTGTATTGTAAGTGAAGGAACAGACAGTTTGGAGTTTGTTCACAAAAACCGTCTTTGATGCCAGATGATGTTGTATTGTAAGTGAAGGAACAGACAGTTTGGAGTTTGTTCACAAAAACCGTCCTTGATGCCAGATGGTGTTGTATTGTGAGTGAAGGAACAGACAGTTGGGAGATTGTTCTGGATGTAACTCAGGAACATAAATATCATCATGTTCTATCAACACATTTTGTTGTCTTCACCAATGAAGTCATATTAGGCCATGTTTTCCTAAGTTTGAGCCATAAGAGTTTGTTGTCAGTTAACTGAGTGACAACTGCAGAGATTCTATTGTTTTTACCCTGTACCTAGAAAACCAATACTAGATTCATCAAGTTCTCCAAGTCCCCAGCAAACACACCTCACCATGCTTAGAGCAATATGTCTGGTGCTGTCTGCTGACATTTTAATGTCATATCATTTGACTTGAACTTCAGAAGTGGACTGAATCATCTTCTTCCAGGTTGCTCTCCCCCATTGTTGGATGACAACTTCTGAATTTGACTGTGCTTACTTGCTTTTGGTTTGCCAGCGAGAACAACGCGTCTGAACAACCTTTCATCAAATGAAGAAATGCATTACTTACCAGATTGCAAAAGTGACAGTTGGAATGTGTCTTGTAATCATTCAACCTTGAAAAGGTTAAAATGGGGTATTCCGAACAACATGTTTAGCCTTAGGCTGTAGGAGTGCTCCCATCCAACTCATTGTCTATATCTCACTTAGGTAGAACTTTGAACAGAAGAGATGCCACTGGACAGTACTGTCAGCTACTAGATTTCCAGATTGTGTTTGTTGGGTTTTCAAATTGTCAATCGAGAACTTTGTCAAAATATTTTACATGCTGCTGACTTTGTGTGAGAGTGGGTTCGAATCCCAAATGGGATTCAACCCCAATACTGAGAAAAAGTAATCCCAAACATAACAAATTAACGTTACATTTGACCACTTTCTAAAGGGCATTGTGTATTCATAGTTTCGGCTGTTGGAGCCATGCCAATTTCAACTTGTGTGAGGGGTATGCAAAGTATGTGATTCAGCATACCATTTGTCAGACGTCCACTTTGTGGAAGCCACATGTTGGCTGTTAGGTTAGATTGCTGACCCAGACTCAACCTGTACATGAACTAGGATCAGGACTTGGCTGAGATAGTGTCATCCCAAATATACCATTTATTGTATTTTTAAAGTGTAGTCTGGAATTTAAATCGTCAGTTTGTAACTGGTATAAGTCATTTCAACAATTTCATTGGTCCAAATTTGGTAACCGTAATGGGATTCTGAAACAAATATATCCAAGAAAGCCAATGCAAGTATAGAATATGTGGCAAGTATACTGTCTGGAAATGAAGGAAGACTCAGAGACTAGATGTTAGTCTATGGGATGTGCTCAGGTTCTTGTTTGGTGGTAGGAACTTACATCTGATTTTAATGAGATAGGTGGGGACATTATGGGTCCAACCCTTATGTTAAATGGCAAATGTATCTTCTGGTTAAGTAGAAATTACTAAAAATGTGGAAAGTTTTCACAGTCTCATATCAGCAATACCTTGTCAGCAATATATCAGCAATACCTTGTTAGCAATATACATGTATCAGCAATACCATGTCAGCAATATATCAGCAATACCTTGTTAGCAATATATCAGCAATACCTTGTTAGCAATATATCAGCAATACCTTGTCAGCAATATATCAGTAATACCTTGTCAGCAAAATATCAGCAATACCTTGTCAGCAATATATCTGCAATACCTTGTTAGCAATATACATGTATCAGCAATACCATGTCAGCAATACCTTGTTAGCAATATATCAGCAATACCTTGCTAGCAATATATCAGCAATACCTTGTCAGCAATATATCTGCAATACCTTGTTAGCAATATACATGTATCAGCAATACCATGTCAGCAATACCTTGTCAGCAATATATCAGCAATATATCAGCAATATATCGGCCTAACTGCAGTAGTTGTATGCAGTATCAGCAATAGCGGTGTAAAACCATACTGACTCACTCACTCAGTCATAAGTGTCAGTACTGATTTGAAGGTATATTGTTTTTTATAAACACCCTGACCATTTGGACATTAATTTCTACTTGTCAGTTATCTGTTAGGATCTTCCATTAAGGTGTCAGGCACCACCATAAATGGTAATGATTGAACTTCCACAATGAAACACATCTCAGTAATATTGAAGGAACCAAGATTACTTCATTTCTCATTCACAACCTGACTTATAGTCTGTTTGCAGTGAAAACGTACCGATGAATTTCACTTTATGCCAAATAGTAAATAGGATAAAGGGAAATTAAGATTGCGAATCCTCATAATTTTACCTTCCCAATTGAACATGTAAATCTTTTATTCAACTTAGGATAAAAGTTGTTTAACAAACGATCATAGATTCAAATCGTTATTATTGGTTTGCATTACAAGGGGGTAAGCAAATTAGTTGGAACAGTGAAACAAATGCATGTGCGGTACGTGATGAGCGTTAACTTAGACCAACCCTACTTGTTCTCGGTGTTTCATTTAATGTGCATACCCCCTTGTAATAAAGAAGATTAAGGAGGTCCCCAGGTTGCAGTTCTATATCAGCAATCTTCAACAATACTGTCACCCCATTTAATGTTTATTTTGGTGTGTCTGAATACATGTTGTTATCATAGCAAGCTTCAAGTTGGTAAACATTTTTTAAAAAATAACGAAAAGTTCTCTGCCAAAGAAAATGACTGTCTTACAAGTTATATGATTCAAGTTAGTGATAAAGACTGTGTAACTGGTATGTAACAATATGTGTAACTGATGCATCCCTGGTGTATAACTGATGCATCACTGGTGTATTAATGGTGTATAACTGATGCATCCCTGGTGCATAACTGATGCATCACTGATGTATTAATGGTGTATAACTGATGCATCACTGGTGTATTAATGGTGTATAACATGCATCACTGGTGCATAAGTGCTGCATCACTGGTGTATTAATGATGTATAACTGATGCATCACTGGTGTATATCTGATGCATCACTGGTGTATTAATGGTGTATAACTAATGCATCACTGGTGTATAAATGGTGTATAACTGCTGGTGTACAAATGGCGTACATCTCTCCTGCTAGTGTACAACTTGTGTACTGCCTGTATATAACTGGTATATATTATAATGCAAGAGTTTCAAGAATTTCAACACACTATCATGTGCAGGAGGGGATGACTCAACGTATTTCTGATATTAGTGGTTGTGACATTATAAATTGACTCCAATAGATGTAGGTTGTAAACAATCAGCTGTTGCATGTGGTACTTACTTACCAAATATTTCCTCTAAAAGTGGAGTACTTCTTTGAGCTAAATGTTGGACAGGTTATAAATTTGGTACTTTATACAATTTATTTATGTTGTGACAAGACACTAGGGTTTTTTTAGTTTCTATTATACCAGTTCTTGTTTTTGGTTGGCAGAATAGCAAAACCAGTGTATTTTTTCACTCATATATTTATCTCACATTTTCTCAGCTGATTCATATACAAAGTTGCAGAGAGTCTGGCATGTCATAAAAAAAATAGTCATCAAGTCTTGTTTTATGTTGTGTTCTGCAACATGGCAGACACGGTTATGTGAGCTACGAATTATGGCGAGCAAGCTTCAGAGGCCTGTAGCATTGCTGGCAACACTTTATTTCCTGGTTTTACTTAAATGCAGCTCCCAGTTTGTCAATAAATCTGTGAAGAGTACTTACAAACAATTATGTTTAAGGGATTATTTGAGCAGGATGGAGGGAGCTGTATATTGTTCATGGACCTCTCGGCACAGATTTTGGATAAGCTATGTGGAAAGGGGAAGTGGAAAAGATGAAAGGACATTGTCAGATTGCAGGAAGTACTAATTGGGGCATTTGCTTATTGTACTACAGACAGTGGTTTTAGTATCTCTCATGGGTTCCAGGTGTTAAGACCATCAACATCAATCAAACTCAACTACCCACCCACTCACCAACCCCTACACTGATTCACTTGCCCGCTTACTCAACCTGCAATACACTCAACCTTCCTTCCACTTTCCCATCCTCTCATCTGTCACTTCTCCCTCCCACACTTATACCGATCGACTCAACCATCCACTCACTCAATCATCCATCCACTCAACCACCCACCCTCTCACCCATCCACCCAACCATCCACTTAACCAATCAACCATACATCCAACCAACCACTCACTGACCCTCTCAACCACCAACACCCTCGTCCATGCACTAAACAACCAACTCGTTGATCCACTCGACCACCCACCCACTCAGTCACCCTTCCCTTGAACCACCCACTCACTTATCCACTCACCCTTCCATTCAACCACTCACTCACTCATCAACTCAACCACCCACTCCTCCATCGATTCTCACTCACCCACTCACTCACCTATCCACTCACCAATTCACTCAACCACCCACTCACTCACCCATCCACTTAACCACCCACTCACTCACCCATCCACTCAACCACCCACTCACTCACCCATCCATTCAACCAACCACTCACTCACCCATCCACTTAACCACCCACTCACTCACCCATCCACTCAACCACCCACTCACTCCCCATCCATTCAACCACCCACTCACTCACCCATCCATTCAACCAACCACTCACTCACCCATCCGCTTAACCACCCACTCACTCACCCATCCACTCAACCATCCACTCACTCACTCACCCATCCACTCAACCACCCACTCACTCACCCATCCATTCAACCAACCACTCACTCACCCATCCACTTAACCACCCACTCACTCACCCATCCACTCAACCACCCACTCACTCACAAATCCGCTCAACCACCCACTCACTCACCCATCTGCTCAACCACCCACTCACTCACCCATCCACTCAACCACCCGCTCAACCACCCATCCTCTCACTCAACCACCCACTCACTCACCCATCCACTCAACCACCCACAAGGCATACAGCACAAAGTAGAGACTAACTCACTGACTCCAATAGGAACACTTGTTTCATCTGTATTTCAAATGTGTTGAGATTACATTGCATGTGTTCTGCGGTGCTGGTTATGAACTGATTATTCCTGATTCCCTATTTCCCTGCAGCACTACTCAGCTCAAATAATGTTTTGTTTGAAATACAACTGATGGGAAGAAGTAGAAGTGCCTTTGATGCTGACGAGAGAGAGTAAGATTTCACAGGATCATTATTGTATGGCTGCAGGCTGACTGTTGTACACCTACGTTATGGCTTGTTAGGACAGTCTTTGAATTCTCAGTGGTCATTGGAAACTTGTGTCTATCCAAGTCTCCTCATGCAGCTCCAGTATATACTATCACACCATCCATGTCAACTGTACACAGCCCATATCTACCATACACAACCCATATCTACCATACACAACCCATATCTACCATACACAACCCATATCTACCATACACAACCCATATCTACCATACACAACCCATATCTACCATATACAACCCATATCCACAATGCACAACCCATACCTACCATACACAACCCATATCTACCATAAACAACCCATATCTACCATGCACAACCCATACTTACCATACACAACCCATATCCACCATACATAATCCATATCCACCATACACAACCAATATCCACCATGCACAACCCATATCTACCATACACAACCCATATCTACCATACACAACCTATATCTACCATATACAACCCATATTCACCATGCACAACCCAAACCTACCATACACAACCCATATTTACCATACACAACCCATATCTACCATACACAACCCATATCTACCATACACAACCTATATCCACCATACACAACCCATATCCATCATACACAACCCATATCCACCATGCACAACCCAAACCTACCATACACAACCCATATCTACCATGCACAACCCATATCTACCATACACAACCCATATCCACCATATACAACCCATATCTACCATAAACAACCCAAATCCACCATACACAACCCATATCCACCATACACAACCCATATCTACCATACACAACCCATATCCACCATACACAACCCATATCCACCATGCACAACCCATATCTACCATACACAACCCATATCTACCATGCACAACCCATATATATCATGCACAACCCATGTCCACCATACACAACCCATATCCACCATACACAACCCATAACTACCATACACAACCCATATCTATTGTTTGCTTGTTTCAGGATGGACACAAGAATATAGAAATTCCAAACTCTCAGTCACTTCGGAATATGATGATTCCAAAGTTCCCGGTGAAGGTGATCGTCCAAATTCTGGGAATGGCTACTTACCTGTGAATGTGTCCAGCCCATCGATTCCCAGTCCAGGTAAGTCTAAGGTTTTCTTGACCCTTGGTCTATTGTGTAGGTACTTATCTAGTGTGTATAACACCATGCTGAGCAATATTCCAGCTTTATGGTGTCTGTCTGTAAATAATCGGGTCTGGACCAGACAATCCAGTGATCAACAGCACGAGCATTGATCTACACAATTTGGATACGATGACCTATGTCAGCGAGTATGACCACCTGATCCCTTTAGTCGGCTTTTACAAAAAGCATGGGTTACGGAAGATAATTCTAACCTGGATCTTCACGGGTTGTTTATCATAATGTATTTAGTGTCTACAATTTTGTTCTAGCGTACCCCATACCTGGTTTAGTGTGTACAAATCTGGTGAAGCATGTACCTATCTCATCTAGTGTGTGTGTATGTGTCATACCTCTTCTAGTGTGTGTGTCATACCTGGTTGCTGTAGGGAGACAGAGCAGAGAAGTCTGTTAAGTATTCACACCAGAAGATCAAAGATAAATCAGCAACCTGCTGTTACCGTCAGCCACAAAATCAAGATACTTAAAGAAACAGACCAACATAAATGTAGTTTTCAACAGAAGTAACACCATCCAAAACACCATTAAAGCCACAGGCAAACCACCATCCACCAAAAAGATAAGAAATTCTAGGAACAATATACCATATGCCATGTAATTGTGGACACACTTACATAGGTGAAACACCCATAACCCTCCAAACCTGAATTAAAGAACATCAATGATCAGAGTCTAAACTAGACTTGAAATCAGCTCTATCTGACCATGTTAGTGACAATTCTGATCACTGTATTCAGTGGGACAAAATCAAAGCGCTTCCTAACAAGCTCAAAGGCTTCAAAATCAGAAAACTCCAAGAAGCCATGCACATCAAAAGACTTCAACCATCCATCAACTTTGACCAAGGCTATTACATACCCTGAGTTTACCATCAACTCATCAAAGACTCCAATAAGATATAATCCTTCTGTGTTTTCACACAAATGGCTTCATTTGTAAGGACCTGATTTACCTTCGATCTTCTGCTGTGTGTACTTAACAGGCTTCTCTGCTCTATTGTAAAACCCCCAAAAGAAAAAGACCAATGTGGGTGTAGTTTTCAACAGAAGTAACACCGTCTGGTCAAGTGTTTGTATCATACCGGCTCAAGTGTTTGATCATACCTGGCCTAGTGTTTGATCATACCTGGTCTACTATTTGTATCATACCTGGTCTAATGTTTGGATCATACCTGGTCTACTATTTGTATCATACCTGGTCTAATGTTTGGATCATACCTGGTCTGGTGTGTTTCATACCTGGTCTAGTGTTTTTCACACCTGGTCTACTATTTGTATCGTACCTGGTATAGTGTTTGGATCATGCCTTGTCTAGTGTGTTCCATACCTGGTCTAGTGTGTTCCATGCCTGGTCTAGTGTTTTTTCACACCTGGTCTACTATTTGTATCATACCTCGTCTATTTTATGGATCATTCCCGGTTCTAGTGTGTTCTATACCTGGTCTATTATTTGTATCATACCTGGTCTATTGTGTTCCATACCTGGTCTTGTGTTTTCCACACCTGGTCTAGTATTTGTATCATACCTGGTATAGTGTTTGGATCATGCCTTGTCTAGTGTGTTCCATACCTGGTCTAGTGTGTTCCATTCCATACCTGGTCTAGTGTTTTCCACACCTAGTCTAGTATTTGTATCATACCTGGTCTAGTGTTTGTATCATACCTGGTCTAGTGTTTGGATCATACCTGGTCTAGTGTTTGGATCATACCTGGTCTAGTGTTTTCCACACCTGGTCTAGTATTTGTATCATACCTGGTCTACTATTTGTATCATACCTGGTCTAGTATTTGGATCATACCTGGTCTAGTATTTGTATCATACCTAGTCTAATGTTTGTATCATACCTGGTCTAGTATTTGGATCACACTTGGTCTAGTGCGTTCCATACCTGGTCTAGTATTTGGATCACACTTGGTCTAGCGTGTTCCATACCTGGTCTAGTATTTGGATCATACCTGGTCTAGTATTTGGATCATACCTGGTCCAGTGTTTGTATCATACCTGGTCTAGTATTTGGATCACACTTGGTCTAGTGTGTTCCATACTTGGTCTAGTGTTTGTATCATACCAGGTCTGGTGTTTGTATCATACCTGGTCTAGTATTTGGATCACACTTGGTCTAGTGTGTTCCATACCTGGTCTAGTGTTTGTATCATACCAGGTCTGGTGTTTGTATCATACCTGGTCTAGTATTTGGATCACACTTGGTCTAGTGTGTTCCATACCTGGTCTAGTGTTTGTATCATACCAGGTCTGGTGTTTGTATCATACCTGGTCTAGTATTTGGATCACACTCTGGTCTAGTGTGTTCCATACCTGGTCTAGTGTTTGTATCATACCAGGTCTGGTGTTTGTATCATACCTGGTCTAGTATTTGGATCACACTTGGTCTAGTGTGTTCCATACCTGGTCTAGTGTTTGTATCATACCAGGTCTGGTGTTTGTATCATACCTGGTCTAGTATTTGGATCACACTTGGTCTAGTGTGTTCCATACCTGGTCTAGTGTTTGTATCATACCAGGTCTGGTGTTTGGATCACACCTGGTCTAGTGTGTTCCATACCTGGTCAAGTGTTTGTATCATACCTGGTCTAGTATTTGGATCACACTTGGTCTAGTGTGTTCCATACCTGGTCTAGTGTTTGTATCATACCAGGTCTGGTGTTTGTATCATACCTTGTCTAGTGTGTTCCATACCTGGTCTAGTGTTTGTATCGTACCTGGTCTGGTGTTTGTATCATACCTTGTCTAGTGTGTTCCATACCTGGTCTAGTTTGTTCCATACCTGGTCTAGTGTTTGTATCATACCTAGTCTAATGTTTGTATCATACCTTGTCTAGTGTGTTCCATACCTGGTCTAGTGTGTTCCATACCTGGTCTAGTGTTTTCCACACCTAGTCTAGTATTTGTATCATACCTGGTCTAGTATTTGTATTATACCTGGTCTAGTATTTGGACCATGCATGGTACATCCTATATATAATGCTATTACCCAACAGTCGACTATGTGACTTGCTAGTCTGTGCTATGTCATGTGGCCTGGTGGTGTTCCCTCCAAACTACAGATACAGGTTCAGTCGACACTGTGGGATGTAGACCATTGTGTGGGTACAACTGTGTGGGCGGAAGCATTAACGCATTGCTCCACACATCACGCAGGCTGGAACTCCACACTATTCCCTGTGATTTTCTCATCAAATATCCGTCCCACGTTGTTCAATTTGTTACTCTTGACTCTGACGACATGGTCTGTATGAGAAATGTCGTATCAAGTTGTCACTGAAAATGTTTGAATGAGCTGTGTGAGACCCATGATGGTGAATTATTGATCACTTCATTCAGGACATATTGATGACACAGATAATGAGGCCATGAAACAGATGGTGTTCGTGTATTAATTCACTCCAACAGATCATAAATCTCTCACATTTGTGTACCACGCAAAAGAAGTGGAAGAACTACCAAATCTTCCATATGACTCATAAATCTGCGATTTTGGTGATATGAAAAAACTTGGGTGTCCTTATACTTTTTTAAGTGGTATGTAATAAAGAACCACTCACTTAGCCAAACAAACATGTTGGAAATATGTCATGTAATGTGATGGTCGCACAATTTCTACGTGATTTTCCCTGCAATGTCGTCACTGTTCACTTCCTGGTGGACAAGTCTCACATATACCCCTGTGACTTCCCATGACAGGCTGACATTAAGGTCGCAGTCATGTGCTATCAATTAACTGTCAAAACAAATTGTTTTTTACAGTTTCCACCTTACTCGACTTACAGGATCTCCAGGGTAGGGCACAGATCTGGCTGACTCATTGACTTTGTTTTAGTAAAAAATGTGGTACATTGGAAAACATGGCGCAACCAGCAGAAATATTATATCATTTCTTGCTAATACACTTTATCATCTAAAACTGCCTTCCACATGAGACTTTGCTGCAATTAAATTGCATTATAATGTATTCACACCAATATGACATTGGTTACTGTGATGTCTCGCAGTGAGCCTCGTTAGGTGAACTTTAACACACTCAGGTTACTGATCATTGTTACACTGTTCGTAACGGAAAAAGTTGTAGTAATGATTTTGAATGATAACGAGAAAAACATCAAAATGTCATCATATATAAAATATCAACACTGTTTAATGTAAGGTTAAAGGTTCCGACTTTCATTGACTTTCCTACATGATTGATGTCACAAGACACTGATATTCTCCATTACTCCAAGAAATGAGTACCCATCCCCAGCTCCCCTCTGTCTGCTGGAAGTGGTGATGTGTAGGCCATGGTGGCTGTTGTTGCATCATTAGGGACGCAGATACAGAGAAGGTTGTTGCTTCAGACTTTGTAATCTCAAGTTGAACAAACTTGACATGAATGATCCCGACATTATTGGAATAACAATTTGTCTGTAACTTTTCCCAACACTGTGCTGGCCTCGCTGAGCTATGTGGACATGGGCTTCATTACAGCCTATGTCATATAGCCATATCGTCTGGAAGGTATATGCAAGCTGTATGCTGCATTAGTAGAACATGTACATCCACATATTGATGATTGGTGAACCCTCTTCATTAGTTTAATTCAGGTACGAGTGTGAGACTTTAAATCCACAGATATTTTTCAAGTCAATATGGATGTGGCTCTTTGTATTGTCCATGGTGTATATCTTGTGTATTATACATGGTGTATATCTTGTGTATTGTCCACCCAAGACCATACAGAGAGAGATTTACTGAGTGATAACACTGTCACATGGACCACTGCAGGTCTAGTGTTTGTTGACATCACATCTGTTACATTGCCTGGTACACCCAACACCATACGGAGAGAGACGTACTGATAACACTGTCACATGGACCACTGCAGGTCTAGTGTTTGTTGACATCACATCTGTTACATTGCCAGGTACACCCAAGACCATACG